ATTCGCTTTTCTATTTCTTTCACGTCTGTTCCGGTGTTGTCGAATGTGATACCTAGATACTAATATTTTTGACATTGCAGAATTTCCTGATCATCGTCCACTTCCAAGTTTCAGTTCTGGTTGCCTACACATAGATATTTTGTTTTATTTATATTAACTCTCAGACCCCATTCTTGGTACTCTTCTATCAGCTTTCTAATCATATATTGCATGTCCTCTTTGTCACTGGCCACTATGACCTGATCATTTGCAAACTGAAGAGTAAACAGGCACCTATCATTTATCTCTATACCCATTCCATGGATCTTCCTCTTCCAATTTTTCAGTGCTACTGCTACGTATATTTTAAAAAGCGTAGGAGAGATACAACATCCTTGACATAGTCCTTTATTTACTATAAATGTGTCTGTGAGTTTTCTACCTATCTTAATTCTTGATTTTGAGTCTCTATATAGTTCTTTAAGTGCCGTTATGTAGGTGTGATTGATGTTGTGTTCTAATACCTTCCATAGTCTGGATACTGGGACTGTATCGTATGCTTTTTGTAGATCAACAAATGTGAGGTGGGTTTCCAAATATCTAGCAGATCTCTTTTCTATGACTTGTTATAGGCAAAATACGTTGTCCGTACCTGATCTTCCTGCTCTAAAGCCGCACTGCTCTTCTTCTTCTTGCTCATTATAATCTTCTTCAATGAGATCACGCAGGATTCTACCGTAGCTTAGTGTGCTTGTGACTGCTATGCCCCGATAGTTATTGCAATCCAGCTTATTTCCTTTTTTGTGAATGGAGGATATAAAAGCCGTTTTCCAGTTTTGTGGAACAGGATGTCCATTTAGGCATTTATTGATAATACATGTGAGACCTTTAAAGAGCTTCTCAGTTCCCCATTTCAGCATTTCTGAATATATCCCTTCTGGGCCGCTAGCTTTACCTGACTTAAGATTCTTAACAGTCTTTTTTACTGTTTCTTCAGATATCTCAACTACTTCTCCATGTACTTCAATATGTCTTAGAGAATCTCATATATATTCTGGTCTACTTTCTTGTAATAGACCCTTGTAATGTTCTACCCATTGCTCTGGTTTAATAATCTGGATATTAGCTCTGTCTTTTCCTGGGTTTTTGACATTTGATATAAATCTCCATACCTCTGAGCATTTCCTTCCTCCTATGTAGATGCTAATTTCTTCACATTTCTTATCCCATGACTCGTTGTTAGCTATAGTGATGCACGTTCTTAGTTGTCCTTTTCTGCCTTTATAAACTTCAAGGTCTTGTTAATTTTTTGTTGTTAGCCATTTCAGATATTTTTGCTTCTTCTGTTGGACTAATAGCTCTATCTCCTCGTTCCACCAGTATTTCTTGTTGGTATTTTTTTCCTTCGTTCCTATTGCTTCTTGGGTGGCTTCTATTAGACTCTTTATACTATTATCATAGAGTTTATTGAAGGTACATACTTCAGGGTTCAATAGTTTGCTATCGGGTCGCCTCTGATAAATACAGTGCTGTCATCTCTAAAACTGTCAAAATTATAATTTGTTGTATCCACTGTGTCCGTTAGTATGGCATTGGTGTTTTGTTCCTCTGGGTTCTTGTTCGTTTTCCTAAATTGCAACTTTATTTTGGCTCTTACTAAAAAATGATCTGACCCGCAAGTTATTCCTCTTAGGACTCTTACGTCGTATGTTATACTACAAATGGTAAATACACATTTACCAATAGAGTATAACGTAAAACATAGTTTTAAAAGGATCTTTTGATTTTCTTTGATGATATTTTATACTTCAGCTTTAATGAATCCGATACTTTGAGGATAGTAAGGGTTTGATATTATAACTTCAAATACGCAGACTTTAGAAAACTCTTTAAACTTTAAATTGGCAACCATATATTTCATGTTGGCAGCTCTAATTTGTGTAATGATACATTAGATGGTAGAACTATTTAACTTTGCAACTTCTGGGTATCTCAAGTAGTCAGAAATCAATAGATATCACTTGCCATTTCGTTTAAATAAATCCATGCTAAGAAATTGCCACGGTTGGTCTGGAAAACATGAAGGCTTAAGGGGCTCTGCAGAATTAGAACGATAAATTATACACTTTAGAACATGTTTTAACTACATCCTCGCCACCAGACAGATTGCCTGGCAAGTGCTCTGCATCTTTCGGTATCCATACAGTAGTATAATATTTGGAATGAGAATATCATGTGTGTGGCCGTCAACCTGAAAAAAGCTAACAAACGTAATTCCTTCAGTTTGATCTTTCAGATATTCTAGTATCTGACGCTAAAAGATGAGATATTATCATTTGCACGTGAGCTGTAATTTCCTCCGGAAGTTTTTCTTGGTTCTTGAAGAACTCTTGAAGAGACTCTTGTACCTGCTTAGTACAATGCCTAAAATCTCACATTCATCACAACTACAAAATTTGTAGTTACAAAGCAGTGAAGAATGGGGGCAAATTGATTATTTCCAAAATTCAAGATCACGAATTTATCTTGCCGAACATCAAAGGAGCTGACACCTTCCGTCGCTTCTTTATAGTTTGGATATTCTCTGACTTCGTGGGACACCCTGTATAGAGTATATGTATAAGACCCAAGAATAATTATTATTATCACTGCAAAAACTTAATGATTCGGATTTCAAAGCATATATTTTTTTTTTCTCAAGATGGTTTCAGATAGCAAAAGATGTTCTAAAGTTACGTTTTTTTATTTGAACGTAGACATATCAAATAAAAACATTGAATGAAAAACTCTACTTGTTCTAATTAGAGTGTCTCTACTTTTCATGTTATTTGTCTCAGAGAAAAACTTTATTAATTACGTTGATTCGTTCCATCACACACAAACCTAGAGAGCAGATTGTTTTTTGAATGTATTAGCTCTGTTCCAACAGACATATGGCTTATGTTCCGATATCAACTGTCAGTACTGAATTTACTGGACGCCGTTCCGATATCATTTTCAGTACACTGGATTCAGTCGATTCAGTACTGAATGGCCACAAGAGTATACGTTGTTGAAATCGGAACGGCAAATGACAGTAAAATCAGCACAAAAAATCCAGTACTGGCAGTTGATATCGGAACATAGCCATAAACGCAAACGACATTGAGGAGGCAGGACTCTCATATTAGAATATAGTAAAGAGCGCATTCCTACTTTGCATTCGCCCAAAATAAACAATTTTTATTTTAATCCTGCTAACCATATTTTGCATATACTTAGCAATGTCTATGGTCTTTGAGCACAGCTATGAAAATATTACAGGAATAATAGTTGAAGCTAATAAATAATGTCTATTCAACGATATAAGATCTGTCGTGAATTTATCTGTTTCATTTTCTGTATTATCCGGCTACATGCTTATACCCCTTATACTGGAGTAAAATATATTTTATGGCAGCCCCGTGCAGGACCGTATTTGATTTTGTCTTGAATACGGCAATATTTGTTTTTCCTAATAAGGAATTGTGTTAAAAAAAATTGTAGATTCCTATCTCTGTGCAAGAATCAGTAGCGTAGCCAGTTGGGGTCCGGGGGGGCGAGATTCATGAGTAAACGCCAGAAAGGATCTGAGGGGGCTTTTGCTAGATAGGTTTTGAAAAATTAGCCTTGTTAAACCAATGAAAGTAATGTGGTGTTCTGCATTATTGGGGGTCTGACTTAATACCATGTTATTACTGCTGCTAGAGCTGGAAATTACGCAAGACATGAGGATTCCTATTATTAGTTCCAAAATAAATTTGAAAGGATCATCCAAAGGTATAGTTGGAGAAAAACTGGACATTAATAAGCTGAAGGTGAGGAACCAAAACCTAGTAGTAGTAGTACTCATGGTACCTCAATGACATGAGGGTCCACTCTTTCGTACATGGTACTCGAGAGGACCTTGTAAGCGGTGTTTGAGAGGGTTTGCCTCGATGCCATTTGCAATCCAAGGGGTCTGCTTTTTTATGCAGTGAGCAGATTACTCCAATGTTCCATTTATGCGGCAACTCTTTATCGTTCCAGGCCATGATCATAATCTGATGACTCTAGTTCGTGAATATTTGAATAGTTAGCTTAGGTTAAGACGTCACTTCCAAGGGAATTTGTTTCAGTCAGAGTTGGTGGATCTTGGGGTGCGGTATTTATTATGGATTGTTCTTGATAACTTTCCTCTTGAGTTTCATTGTCATTACGTAATTCTTTGAAGTGTTCCGCTTATCGATTAGAGATTTCGGTTGAATAGCTGATAATGTTTCCTTGCTTATCCTTCTTGGTTCAAAAGCCTTACGTTGTTGGTTTATATATTTGTAGAGTTTGCGGTTTCTATTCTGATCTCTGAGTTGTTTTAATTCGTCTAAAGAATATTTGTTACGTCACTTGTTATGGAATTAATACCTGTGGAAATGGAAAAAACTGCAGAGCCTAAGCCTATCTAGGTACACGTATAGTTTAACAATCGACTTTTAACAGATTCCAGTACCTAGATTAATAAAATGTAGCTCCTGGAATGAAAGGAGATTTGATTAGCTGCACATTCTTGATAAGCTTATATCATTATACAAAAATATGCATCCACACTGAAACGGCCAGTTTTATCCTGCCTAATTATTAATTTTATTAACAAGAAGAGCTTTGGCAGCATCTTTTTTGTATTAGGGTAGATATCCATGACCTGTCTGTACTTTATGCTAGAATGCTCATTTCCCTTATAAGGTTTTTGTTGAGAGATGTGGAAATTGCATATTTTTAAAAACGTTGCACGTTAGTATGATGTACACTCAGAGAAAGTTTCGCTATCACAACCAGAAATAAGTATAATGCAACAATACAATACAGTTAATATAGGCACAACCACACATATAGTTAAATGTATCATAAATATATATTGTTAATTGTTATTGTTCCTTCACAAATATTATATTGCTTGTCCCAAAGCTGTATGCTTCTCATAAATATAAATATTTTAAAAATAACAAAAATATTGTTGCTATTGCAATCTAGTATTGATATAATTACCATTTACTAATTTCCATTGACCATATTATATATTATCTGCAATCATATCATTTGTTGGAAGAATGCCAATTATTGCTCTTCTAACAATGTATTTTGTTAGAATTACCAGTGCTTTTCAAATAGGTACCTACAGGAGATCAACAAAAACAATTTCAAAATATTTAAAACATTTATTTTGCAAATAAATTCAAAACCGACATAGTTAGAATACACACGCGTTATCGTTTGTATCACTTCAAATGAGAGGGCCCTAGAGAAAAGGAAATTTCCCTTCTTCGTCAGTGACGACGTCAATGGCATCTTCTTGGCCCGTTCTTACTGTACAACACTGTTCCTAAAAATATGCATATTATGTAAACTTAAGAAAATATTTGGAGTATTCACTTACTTGGTTTAGAATCACTTCACGTTTACACACAAAATATATAGAAGGGATTTAGAAGGAGAACCAAATTGTTAAGAAGTAAGAGAACGCACTCGTGAGAGAGAAACTATTCCTGGTTCCTGGCCATTTTGGAACTGAATTGGTGTGGTAGGGTAGAATAGCTTGCTTGCAGCCGTCACGCGTCGGCGCCCGAGGCTGAGGCCCGGATATGTATGGTACTCCCAATCAAACGTGTTGTTAGAGCAACATGAACTTATGCCGATTCCACAAAATACATGGTCGTATACGGTAATGATATTGCTAAAGTAATTGACTAGTATCGGTATCGGAATCACACAGTTACATCTATCCCACTTATACGGTATTGTTTCGGTAGCTAGATTCTATACAATTGAACCAAATATAACCTATTGTTGCCATCACAACATTATGTTTTTAGCAATCTTTATATTTGTTTTGACAATATATTTATTTAACAATCTATGCTTAGTTACCTCAGCAATGACATATTTGTGATTCAAACATAATAATGTCAACAATAACTTAATTGTTATTCTAACTACATGTAATAAAATATCTACCTATTTACTTTCATTGTCTTTCATCAATCAGAGAGAGTAAGTAAACAAACAAAAAGGATAGCAAGGATCAATCATTTTGTTACTTTTGTTTTCAATGTTGACAGCCCGTTAGTAATTTTTGTTTTCTTTTTTTGGCAACTACGTTCGCGCACCGCAATATGGCGTCCAAACAAAAGGTCAATTATTTTTATTTGTGTATCTATAAAATGCCAAAGTCATTGAATAGTCAGAGTCAGAAATTCGTTGCGTCTCTAATTATTTTCTTTGAACAGGAACGAGATAATGGGGGCCCCTTTTTGCCATTAAATAGCGTTAGAAAGGTGAAGTATATTGATACTATTAAATATAAATCTTCTGGGGCTTTAATTGGGAATATTTTTCTAGTGTGTTGCAGCTGCACTGAATATTGGTATAACCTCTGTGAATAAAATCCATTGTGAAATCTCTCAAAAAGTTAGGGATAATTTAGCGTTAAATTCACCAGAGAAAAAACGTCCACATAAGAAGCGGATTACGAATCAAGATCACCTTGATGTTAGCTCTATTCGCAATCAAATTTACGACGAAAAGTGACTAGCTTTAGTGATAACAAATTTTACTAGACATGGTATGTCAAAGTAAAACGAAAGTTAATAGCGGCAACATTGCGACGTGCTTATGTCATTAATTTTGATCACGTGCATACACTGTTTAATTAATTTCACTATAAATAACTATTTATTTTTGAGAAAGAAATCACTCAAAAATAAATTACTACGGCAACATAATAACTATTTATACGTATACCTTTTGAAATATAGAACTCAAAATAATTATGGGCACAAATTAATCCTATGACTAGTTTTTGAGATAACTACAGGTAGTTTAATTTCCAAGAAATGTATAAGGAAATTAATAAAATAAGGGTTGTGGAGCATCAAAATTTATGACATTAGCGTGTCGCAATGTTGCCGCATCAACTTCGTTTTACTTTGACATACCATATCAAGTGAAGTTTGTCATTTTCCCAGATTACATTTTTATTGATAAATTGATAAGAATCACTAATACCAAAAAAAAGAAATTCCATCAATACAATTTTATAGAAAGTATACTTTATATTCCAACTATCAATCCCCGACTCGTTAAAAACTGACAGCAAACCTCAAATTAATAAAATCAATAACCGAATATTTGCAGAAGGCAACATTTGGCAGCATTACCCACGAGTGCCAACCTAAATCCCATTTTATCGGCAGATTCGGTTATATGATCTGGGTTTAAAACGAATTTTAATTTCTTACAAACTGCAATTAGTGCAGGACCAATAGACAAATGCACGGAAATAATTTTCAACAAGCTGCGAATTTTTTTACAGATAGTTCAAATCAATCTTACTAACATACTAAAAGTCCCAAAGTCTTCCACTCCGGGAACCCTGAAAAATCTTGACTGCCATCTTGGTTTTTTCAGTTATTTGTAAATAACTCGTTAACGGTGAATTTTTTTTGGGAAATGTGTAGAATACTTTTTTATGGAGAATTAAAAAAGACACATTTTGGTTTTTTAATCGTTTCAATAGGATAAATAACAAAAAAGTTATGGCAATAAAACGGAATGAAAACTTTAATTTTTCAGATTTTTCAATTAAAATCACTAATAATGCTTTTTCAACCCTTGCATTGGTTAAATTTGTTGTTCCGTGAAATAAATAGAAAAGTGTTCATAAAAATTTGGGTCTTACAGTCCGTCCTGACTTGACGTATTATATCGTCAGTTTATCTAAAAATATTAGGATACCTATTAGCAATATGTGCTCATCTTTCTAATCTACATTCATTTTCATATTTCGATGTGACATTTCGGTACATTCTTCTATATCCTCCATCCTTTAAGCATCCTCTAACGCAAAGAGTTTTGCAATTGCAAAATATCTGCTTTAAGATGTCGTTGGGGGCTACATCACCTGTTGTTTTAACAGGGTACGACTTCTCTTTTTCGTTTTTCCATCCGCAATTGGTGGAATTCATATTTCGGCCTAACCATTCTTGCACCTTAAAGAAAAAAATATATAGTCTATAATTTAAAATTAATTTTAAACTATTTTTTTTACCTGAAAGTACACCCTCAAAATATGCTCTCTAGCTGCTTTTTCGGTAGGTGGTAGTACAGCTAAGTCAAAATTTGCACCAGGTTTTTGCCTGCTTATTACTTTAGTATACATAATATACCGGCAGTCATTCAATTTCTGCACTTTCTTAGCTCCATACCATTTCAAAATGTATTCAAAGCCAATTTCAAATAGATCATGTTTCAATGCATCTTGATCTTGGAATAAGTAAGCTTTATGACAGAGCAAATCATCTTTATTAAATACAGACAATAACTGCTTCTTTGACTTCTTGAGAAGAAAAGAGGTAGTGTCGCAGCCTGACATTTCATATAAAATTGAAGATTTTATGTTATGACCTAACTATTGCTGTAATGTACTTATTTGCGTTACTTTATCTGCCTTGGCCCCTTTTCCAGGTCTCATCAAATAAATGTTTGTAGTTTTGGTATGGTGCAACAATAAAATAGCGACATCGGTATCTTCAGAAACAACTGTAATGGTATTACCCTGAGTACCTAACTGCTTTTAGAACTATATCAACATCAGCATCTCTTTGGACTTGCTGAACTACGAATCCTGCCTTCAGTAAATATCCCTTTAAGATGCTAATGAAACTTATTTTTTGTTGTTTTTTAAAAAGTCTGCTTGGGAAATGGCAACAATTGAATCTGGAGTTACTGACACTTCTACACTTTCCTGAGATCTAAATTGTTGTATAGCGTCTTTTGTAGATATAATGTCACTGTCATAACCATCAAAAACAATAAAACATTTTTGTGTATGACAATGCAGTGCAAAATTAACACATTGAAGACATATTTCATGGTAGGTTGCAGGTTTTTGCCAGACTAATGTATAGGAACAATCCTTCATCAATTATAAAAACAGTTTTGGAAGAGAAAAAAAATCTTCACATCAGAATTGACTCAAATTGGGCATAAACATTATTTGTAGAACAGCTCAGAATTTTGTTTGCAAGGGTTAAAAAAGCATTATTAGTGATTTTAATTGAAAAATCTGAGAAATAAAAATTTTCGATCCAAGTTTTATTGCCATAACCTTTTTAATAATTTACGCTATCGAAACAATTAAAAAACTAAAATGTGTGTTTTTTTAATTTTCTATAAAAAGTATTCCAAATATTTTCCAAAAAAAATTCACTGTTAACGAGTTATTTACAAATAACTGAAAAAAACCAAGATGGCGGCCAAGATTTTTCAGGGTTCCCGGAATGAGAGACTGTGAGACTTTTAGTATGTTAATAAGGATGGTTTCAACTACCTGTAAAAAAGATTGGAGCTTGTTAAAAATTATTTCCTTTCTCGAGGAAAAATTTGTTTATTGGTCCTGGGCTAAATTGGCAATAATTTCGACGTCATTGATGACCTGCAACCATTATTTTATTTATTTCACTATACCTACATATTTTATATGCATTTACATCTACCTGTCAGTCCTGTCACCTGAGCGTGAGGAAACCTGTCCATCCTGGTATAATTAGTAAACGGGTAGATGTAAATTCATATAAAAGTCCTTTTCACGTGGTCCGGTTTAAACTAACCGGGTTACAAAACGGTTGGTAGCGGTATGTCAAGTATGACATACCGTTTTCTAACCTGGTTACAAAGTGAAGTGATCGATAGCACTCGAATTTGAGCGGTATGTTGCGGTTTGTTAAACCGGAGCTACGTGAAAAGGGTTAAAGGGATGATTCCTAATATTTATAAACATGAAATCTTAGAGAATACTGGTACATGAAAGTTGAGAGGGGAATTGCTGCCAAAACAGGGGTGTGCTCCAAAACCGCGATCAATGTTATAAAGGAGTACCTATAAATAGAAATGTAAACTTTCTGATCCAAAAAAAAAGTTGCGCGGAGACTTTGATAAAAGCGCAATGGGGCGTAAAGTGCATGAATAATTTTTAATAGAAACTTTCATCGTCAACATGACACATGTGCGAGACTGTCAAAAGCGACGTCTGTCAATAGATGGGTCGACAAACAAAACAAAGACATGGGCTTCGGAAAGTTAAGAAAAGTTATGGAACTCGTTCGACTATCACTTTTACAATCACAAAACACACATTCCGCGTGTGGCTAAATTCACCAAAATGATGCACCGCCACGGATGCGGTGATTGCGATTCACTAATGCCAATACCAAACCACAGCTTGCCAAACCCTGTTCAATTTACCAACACTGTTCCTTCGACCATTCCACCGCAGTGCCTACACCAGCTGAATTTAGCCACACGCGGTTCGCTTCACTGCCCCTTGATAAAACATATCACGTTCCCCAAAACTGCCACAGTTATTAAAGGACCCCGCACACTTGTTATGGGATTTCTGAACGCGGTCAAATTTAACCAAATTTCAGTATGTTAAAGATCTCACCTTTCTAATCAATATTTACCATGGGCACAACTCAATCCAGGACTTGTTTTGGAGATACAGGTAGTTTAATGTCCAAGAAATGCCCACATTTTATATGCATTTACATTTACCTGTCACCTAATAATACCAGGATGGACAGGTATCCTCACGCTCAGGTGACAGGTAGATGAAAATGCATATAAAATGTGTGTATTTCTTGGACATTAAACTATCTGTATCTCAAAAACTAGTCATAGGATTAAGTTGTACCCATGGTAGTTATTGATCAGAAAGGTGAGATCTATAACATACTAAAATTTGGTGAAATTTGACCGCGGTCAGAATTCCCATAAGAAGTGTGCGGGGTCCTTTAAGCCCAAAATTGAAAAAAATAATAACATTGGCGTTGCTATTTATAGGTTATGTGACTTTGTTTGTCGACTTCCTGCCAAAGTCAGTCATAATGGAATCTTCTATACCTACTCGACAGAGAATTAGTTTGTTATTTGACAAAGATGAAATTGTTTTGTGGCGGAGAGAATACTTGCAAAAAATAAAATGGTACCGACAGGAAAATCGAAAAGTTCACTAATAGTCCGAGATCCGGCTGCAAATTTTTGGACCGATCGCGTAACCACTCGAAATTGCAAGAATATTGAAGTTTTGTATATAAACTTTCGAAAAATGTCATGGTGCCAGTGAAGTTTTGGCCGAAAGAGCAATACATTTTTTTTTCTACAACTGTCAAAAAAAAGATGATGTTTGCACACTGGTGACAATTTGCGAAGTGACACTTTTTTTTCCAGATAGATTTTTTTTTAACGTTCCCATGACGCCGTGTGCGAAATGATTTTCCAGTGTTCGAAATGCTTAGTTCGCACACTCAGGTAAGAAATACCTGTCATCTGACAGGAAACCAAAAATAATTAAAATTTACCTGCCTTTGATGGTTAATGCAATTTTAGCTTTGAATCATGGATATTTGAATGGAGTTGTAGAAAAAATATTGTTTACAACTCGTGCGCGAAATACTTTGGTGATCTCGACTATTTTTTTAACTCGGCTGCGCCTCGTTAAAAAAATCAGTTCTCGATCACCCAAGTAGCATTTCACGCCCTACATACAAAAATAACTATTATTTATTGCTCAATTTTTCAACATTGCTTATTTTCGAGGGTAACCAAAAAATCCCTGTTCCGAAATATGCGCGGCAATTATGCGATGCGAAAAATGTAATGGTGCCACCTCCCATTTGGCCGCGTCGCCGCGGCTCCAGCATGTGAAGGAGTAGTTTTTTCCAGCAAATCATCCCCATAACGTAACCACTTCATCAAGGTATCAAATGACAGGTACTGGGGTCGTATTTTCGAATATTTTCGCATACGAAATTCAATACGATTTCGAATGCTCACCTCGATCAAGTGGTTACGTGATGGGGATGATTTGTTGAAAAAAACTACCCCTTCACATGCTGGTGCCGCGGCGACGCGGCCAAATGGGAGGTGGCACCAATACATTTTTTGCATCGCATAATTTCCGCGCATATTCCGGAACAGCGATTTTCTGGTTACCCTCGAAAATAAGCATTGTTGAAAAATTGAGCAATAAATTTAAAAAATTATTGCTCTTACGGCCAAAACTTCACTGGCACCATGGCATTTTTCAAAAGTCTATATACAAAACTTCAATATTCTGGCAATTTCGAGTGGTTACGCGATCGGTCCAAAAATTTGCAGCCGGATCTCGGACTATAATTATCTGGTTGAGACGTGGATCAATGCAGGCCACACCAAACCTAAAGTATGGATATGCATCTAGACAAACCTTTTTAGATTGACTATTGAGTCAAAAGTGGATTTTTAAAACATTTAAATTGACTGGTTGAAAAATCCGTCATGTAGGTTCCTGTGTTAACAACCGTAACAATATATTTGTATACTTGAACTTATTGATTTTTAAATGAAAGAAAGAAATGTGCAGAGCCATTTCAACAAGTTTTTTTTTTTCAATTATTTATTAAAAAAATATATTTTTTTATAAGACGAATTAAGAGCAAGGGTGTTATCATTTTCGCTCGTACAAAAAATAATAGAACGGTGAAATTCAAACATGGTGAAACTCCTCATTGAGCTTGGTTTATTTCTTTTGAAAGATACAGAGAAAATTTATTAAATGCTAGTGTCGTTTCTATCAAATGTTGTTTTTTCAAAGTTAATTTACATTCCACCAAATCTCTTAAATTTGAGGAATAAATTAAATAGTAAATTTCGACCCAAGACGATCTAAAACTCTCGATTTCTTGTTCAAGAGGCGAACATTCTTGATCCGAATTCTCCCTTAAATTACTTTATTTAGGTCAGTTAATTCAATTACAAAATTGCTTTTTCCCGCTGTGTTTTGATTATATTAGCAAGTTATTGAATAAGAAAGAATGTATTATGAATATTTGATTGGGATGTGTCTGATTCAATTTGTCGGGAAGGGTGAAATACCATCATATTATCTCCGAAATCTGATAAAAAATGTAGGCGAAAGGGTGGATTTTATATTTTATTGGATAATAAATACCTTCGCTATTTTCTGGCGTGGCATAAACAAAAATATATAGTCTTTCTTTAGAAAATTTACGAGGATCTCTTTTTGTTATAAGTTTTTCTGTATAGCATTGTATTGCAAATATGTATTTCCAAAGTTAGAGAAGCAGCTCATGACAAGTCTTACTCAAAATTTTATTTTAGATTATCAGTCCCATGTGTTTTCCATAATGGCAAATGCATCTCTCAAATCATTTTTCATACGACCATTAAATATTTTTCCTATATTTTCATCATTCAAAAATTTAAAAAGTAACAATAATTTCTTTAAAAAAAAACCACGCCAGATCGCTTCCTACTGTGAAATAGACTCTAATATAAATTAAATTCACATTATGTCACATTTTATGCCTCTGCCTCATGCTTCGGTATCCCTCACCGATATCTCAAAAACTATTGGTAACTGATGTGCATAATGAAATTATATAAACAGTGCGTGAAGTGATACTTTTCGTTCGAGTGACTTTATAGAAAAGACACTCCACGCAATTTTTATTTTATAGTCTTCTTTTTTCTTTGTTGTTCATGCTTTATTTTAAATGAGACAATTGTAGACATAAAAACTGCCTGAATTTCTCTATGAGAACAGAACTGAAATAAAGCTTTTCCGAAATAATTAAATATTTAGCTCTACAATATCTATTTTACGAATCACTTTTTATAAAGGGCAGTATCTAGAATAATTAATGATAAAAACCGAAAAATCTGAATTCTCCCTAAAGTTTCAGGTCATTAATAGTTATTCATTGGGTAGGTGAGTGAGTTATGTTAGATGTACATGTCATGCTGTAAAAGTTTAGTCCACGAGGCCCTAGGGCGGGTAAGCTAATTTTCTCAACGGCTTGGTCGTAATATAATTCATGCGGCGAATAGGTGCATCGTTTTATCCAACGTTTTCTTGTAATCTTTTTCTAACAACTAATAATAGGAATTCCTTTCATCAGTAAAATTCGCTATATTAACAGCTAGCAAACAGTACAAATTGAATGGGCGGCTTTTGATTTAACCTCGTATCTTGCCGAACTTAGTTGATTAAAACTTCATTATCGAGCAAAATTGTCACAACAAGACATCAACTAAAACTATTAAACATTTTGCAGTGGGTAGCTTCCTATCTGAAGCAAAGCGATTATTGTGGATATTCTATTTCAATTCCAATGAAAACAATGGGTGGTATGAATAAAAACGAAGTACTTGCTACTACTACAAGTATGAAAAGCTATTATGATAAAAAAAAAAGCTTGTTTCTGAGAATAAACGCGTGCTATAACTGTGACGTCATAGTCCCAGAAATGCAAGGATGCCAAATTTCTCATTAGTGAAACATTCAAAAACGTGACTGCGTCGAAACTATTGCATTTCGAAGCAGAAATTCAGTAAATTTTTTAATTCGGTTTTATGTTTCACCTTGAGTCCGACGTGAATCAAGTACAATTAAGCTAAATGTTTATCTCCATGTTGCCAAATCTTTCTTAAAATCTGTATTTCTGGAAACCATTAGCAATAAAGATGATGTGTTAGTAAGACTGTCACTCCAACAGAGGTTGATTGGCTGGTGGCCCAGGAAGAGGTTAGTAAGTCAAAAGTCGAGAAAGCAATCAATAGCTTCTCTCCATATAAAGCACCAGAGCTGGACAGGATATATCCGGCGCTCCTAGTGGGGTCTGGATATTATCTTAGACCAACTAGTACTTATTTTCAGAGCGCGTTTTGCTCTGGCATATATACCTGAGAAATGGAGGGAGGTAAAAGTAATCTTTATACCCAAGCCAGGCAAAACTGATTATGCTAAGGCCAATTCATACCGCCCAATCAGTCTCACATCCTTTCTATTAAAGGCTCTTGAGAGACTGTACGAACGAAACTTAAGGAAAAGACCCCTTGCACGCAACCCCCTCACCGAAACCAACATTCATATATACCAGGGAAATCCACGGAGACTGCTCTCCACGCAGTCGTGTGCAGGATTGAACAGTCTCTGGATTGGAAAATGTCCACCCTGGCTCCATTCATTGATATTGAAGGAGCGTTCGACAGAACGACCTTCGATAATATCAAACAAGGCCTAGCTAGACATGGGGCTCCACCTATCATCACCAGATGGATTGAGAGGATGCTAAGCTGGCGAATCGTGAAATTTGATACAGGGGACACCACTATCAATGCTCTGATTAAGAGAGGCTGCCCACAAGGTGGTGTGTTATCACCGATCCTCTGGGACCTTGTGGTAGACAGCCTCCTACATAGCTTAAATGATGCGGGATGCCATACTATTACGCAGATGACTTGTGCATTCTGCTTACAGGTAAGGTTGGACGCGTTCTAGGCGATCTCATGCAAACGGCTCTTAACCAAATTTCATCTTGGTGTGAGGAGCACTCCCTGACGGCGAATCCACTGAAAACGGAGTTGATCCTCTTCACCAGAAAAAAGGAAGATAAGGGGTATGCAAATACCCAGGCTAAATAATACCAGTCTACAGCTGACCCCAGAGGTCAAGTACCTGGGAGTTGTGCTTGATCAAAAGCTCAGCTGGAAAAGACACATTGAGGTAAAAACGGAAAAGGCCAACATGGCCATGCGGCAGTGCCGCAGGGTGATGGGCAGGTCATGGGGCCTCACACGCAAAATCGCCCTGTGGACATACACCGCTATCATAAGACCAATGGTTTGCTATGCAGCTCTTGTCTGGTGGCCCAGAACCAGACAAGTAAAAACGAGGTCCCTACTTGATAAAACGCAACGACTTGCGTGTATCGGGATCACGGGCGCTATGAGAACCACCCCGATGAGGGCAATGGAGGCGGTCTTTGATCTGCACTTGTATATGTGGAGGAGATGGCCCTTTTGACCGCCTGCAGATTAAACCCTTTGGGCTTGTGGCAGCGCGGAAGCTGGGTGGGGGACACTGCCGCATACTAGCGGAAGGGTGCCCACACAGATAACCAAAAGATCCTACAGTGTCTATAATTTGGGTGAGGCGCAGGCTACCCCAACGGTCTCATTATAAATGGACGGATCGAAAACCAGTAGAGGAACAGGAGCGGGTGTTTTCTCATGTGAACTGAACCTTCGCATAAGTACCTCCCTTGGTGACCACACCACCGTCTTTCAGGCGGAATTGACGGCGGTCATTCAGGGAGCCAAGATAGCAATCGATCAAGAAATCGACGGCGAACGAGTTTGATTTCTAACGGATGGTAAATCTGTGCTGTCGGCTCTTGACAGCGCTAGAACAAACTCAAAGCTGATTATGCAGTGTATAGAAGCTCTAGAAGAACTCGCACAAGAGAACTCCGTTGAACTCTGCTGGGTCAAAGGGCACGATAATAACGCAGGCAATGGAGAGGCTGACAGTCTTGCCAGAGCAGCTTCAGGGAAGGCCCCGATGGGAACTCAGCCCATGATCCCTTTGTCAAATAACACCGTCATTGCCGAGGTTAAACAAATAACTCGTTCAGAGTACGCCAAAATGTGGCGCAGTTTAGACACTTGTAAGCAGGGCAGATCAATGATCCACCTCTCTAGCAGGAAAAGAGCCGAGTATAGTGTACAGTTGTCGAGGGAAAACCTCCGCCTACTGATAAGAATTTACTCAGGACACCGTAGACTAAATAAACACCTTTACACCTTGGGTGTTGTTGAGACCCCAATGTGTAGATGGTGAGACGCTGCAGACGAAACGGTTGAGCATGTGCTTTGTCACTGCCCAACCTTTTGTAAACAACGGCAAGCCATACTTGGAACTCTCCTGCAATTTATCCAACGGGTGTGATGTCTGCGGGAGACCCCGGGGAGGAGAATGCGCCTTAACAAATGGAGGTGACACCAAGGGCCTTAAGGCGAGGCCTGGTGTCGGTGAGGTAACTCACCCTCCTTTGGAACTATCCAGATCCAGATGTGTTATTTTTCAACGAGTATTGGAAAAATTAAGAAAAATTAAGAAAAAAAAATATATATATCATGGTTTTTGATTCATACCAGTACATATTTGTTACATTATCACATAAAATTTCAAAGTACATATTCAATTTGTACCCAGCAAACACACATAAAACGTCAATTTTATGTCATATTTACGTCCGTACGTCCATATGACATATTCAGAACATTCAGAACGTACATAAGCCGGAGTCAAGTGCATCCGTTTTCCGACGAAAGATGTCCGAAAAACCTTCTATTCTGACATAATCGTATGAAAATATGTCAAAATAGAAAATTTTTCGGACATCTTTCGTCGGAAAACGGATACATGAGACTCCGGCCTAAAGTGTACAATACAAACAGATCTGATCTGTAGGAATTTAAATTTGAATATTTGAATTTCGCTCTGATTTATGGTCATTTCGAAATTTGACAAATGATGACGTAGATGTTGGAGTAGTTAGCGAAGGAGAGGTGTAATATCCTTGTTCCGAGATTGAGGTTATGTCTTTATGTCTTATTAGGCATTCCAGGTCACGTGACTTTTGACAGGTCCGCCATATTAGCTGAGGCTGAGGGGCAAACAAAGCCTATAGATCATATTGTTTACAGTGTTTTTTGAGTTTGTGCTTCGGAATTTTTGCGTTTTTTGATTTGTTCCATAAATTTTAAGTTGTTTTTAGTTTTTGTGAATGAATGGAATGAATGAATGAATCTTTATTTACGGACGTGCCACTTTACATTTCAATTCAACAATAGTAAACAAACAATTTATTAACAAAAATAATGCCTAAGAATCTAAGTTGTTTAAAAAATAAAAAAGTTTGATACTAACAACCTTACAAATAAACTTTAGCAAAATAAATTTGTGGTAGAATGACTCCTTGAACGTTTTGACTGTTCTGATCGGTGCATAGATTTGGCATGTAGCTTAGCTTACTGGCTTGTTCATTCTGGGCTTTTATCTATTATCGTAGTATATCCTAAATTTGTACTGGGGACCCAATCTGGATTGTTTGTATCCTTAAATTCTGCTGGACTACCTATAAGGTATTAAAACTTACCTACTTGTAGAAACATAAACAACTTTTTTGATATACCGAGATGAAGTGTTTTTGTATTTTAACAACAAAACAGTAATAAAACTTACCATTAACAAAATGTTTCGAACAAATTCGAGCATTTTCAACAACGTTACAGTCAAATCTCACCTTTTGAGGCATCTAATTCACATACTCCGTTGTTTTTTTGATAGCTCGTTTATGCGATCCCCTCGATCATTAAATGCTGCTGGAATCCTAAAAAACCTCACTTTATCCCTTTCAGCTCTATTGAAGCACCCAAAAACGCCACAAAACGAAGGCATCTTCACAAAATAATACTTCAAAAATTCTCGGTTTGCATTGAAAATAACATTAAATCAGGTTATGTTTGGCTTGTGTTTGCCCCTCAGCTAGAATGGCGGATCGGTTATGACGTCAACCTGGAACGCCTAGAGGTGGCGAACGACACGTTAGGTTAGAAGCCTGTTAGAAATTTTATGCAAAAGTTATGTGAAAATTATTTAATGAAGAAAATACAACAACAATTTAGTTAATTAGACCCATCCCTATAATTTCAGATGTGGGATAAGCAAAAAAGGTAGACCTGCTCTAAGGTTGTTATAGACAGAATATTCCCAATTTATTAATAATAAATTAAGTTCAGTCTATTCAGTGAAACAGGGTTGTGCTAATTAGTTACCAGAGTCCCAAGCCAACCAATCCTTAACAGAATGTTATTGTTGCAGTTCTTTTAGGTTATGCTTTATTTATGTAGGTATAGTTGCAATACTTTTGAATTAATGTTTTTCTTTTGTTGTTATTCCAGGTTTAGTAAGCTAATTGCGAATGAATAATAAACGATTTGAGTAAAAAAATCCTCTTTTATTTGGTTTGGAATATGTACTTAATTAGGTCTTCAAGATGTATTATGGACGTTCTTTATGGCTCTATGTTGTACGTCTTCAAGACGTATTATGGAGTTGACATACGACTGGCCCATTGCGTCTTTAAGACGTACTTGGCTCTAAAATCGACGTCTTACAGACGTACAGTATGTCATAATGTTACATCTTATGTACGTATTTGGTATGTAATTGTGTTTGATGGGTACTAACAGTCGGTTGAATGAAAAGTTCGCATTTCTAATGCGTCAACAAAGCTCATGAATATAGGACTAAGATTCATTAATTTATTTGATAATCTGACTGGAATTTGCAACATATTCTTCATTTTCGGTTGCATTTATGTATCTGCGTTAAAAAATTTCCTAATTTGCCATATTCCCGGCACGTAAAAGTGGCCTATTGCATTTTTAGAAACAATGTTTACTGAAGTGAAAACTCTATTGGCGCAGTCTATCGGATCCTTAGAGGGCAAGGTTTTGGACACCCGAAACAGAGTTCCCTTATTTGCTAAAAAGTATTCGTTCGTGGATTACGATTAGAGAAAAAAAATCTAGATCATCCAGCCCATCCAAATCTCATATTTAAATGGTTAATTGAAGATGAGAAGGATTAAATCAAGGTGCTAAGAAAGCGTCATGGTTACAGAGCATTTTCTGTCTGTAATTAAACCTTCCCAACATTATGTAATTTTGATGTTTCATAATTAGGTAATTTTGCAGTTGACTTGCTGGGGCATTCTATACTGTGATCTTAACTCAAATTAGCCGAGCACAAAAAATAAATCAAGCAAATTAAAGAAAATAAATGAAAGAAAAAATTTTCTTTCCATTTTCATTTTAATTCATTACAAGGAACTAAAAATAATTTTTATTTTGATTCTTATACCTGACTCCTCCAAGAAACTCCATCAATCTTACTCAAGCATGACTTTACCATAAATTTTAAATCAACCTAAAACCATGGGTGAGTATTTAAAATTAATTGTTTTAGGATAAAAGTTTATATTTAGAATATTTCATGAACAATATCGATGCATTTTTTCACACTTTCCATACGGGTGAGAACGCCATTTGTTGTCAATCAAAATTGATTGATGATGATGGCAATTTTCTTATGTCACGACCAGACTTCAATGCTTGGCGAGACGAAATCTAATTCAAGAATTAATATACAAGGTGATCTATTATAAATTTCACCCTCCTAACTGCTCCTAACTTTTTCATATGACGTTTTTGAGAGAAGTTTCAAATACATGCAAAAGTTTTAAGGAAAAGACCACATTCACGTGCCGGGAATATGGCAAATTATTGTATGCAGATACATGAATGCAAACAAGAATAAGCAATATTTTGCAAGATTCTATTCAGATGCATGTTCTAGGAAGTGAGCTGTTAAATAAAGAATTTAATTTTTAGTACATTTGACGGATATCTTTGCCTTTCTCTAATTGTTAATATAACACCAAGATACAACATAACACGAAGGAATCTGAAAGCTTTCCCGGTGACAATAGAATACAAACACAACAGAATGTTACGAGTTTCGACTCGACGAATCCACTAGAAAAGGATAGATATGTATATATATATATATAAGAAAATATTTGGTTTGATTTTCCATGCTTTTCCATCCATAGACGCGTTTCGACCTATCAGGTCTCATCAGTATGGCTAGGAAAAGCAAAGAAAACCAAACCAAGTTTCGTGCCTGTAGGCAATATATACATAGTACAACGGTCGAAATTTGATCGTGGCGCCATCTAAGACAAAACTTCAACACCAAGCAGCAATTTTCGCTGCAATATGGTGACTGAGTAATCTAATCGGCCAACCAAATTTCAGTTCGTGGATAATAGGTTTTCCTATTCTGGGTTTCCCCACGAACTGAAATTTGGTTGGCCGATTAGATTACTCAGTCACCATATTGCAGCGAAAATTGCTGCTTGGTGTTGAAGTTTTGTCTTAGATGGCGCCACGATCAAATTTCGACCGTTGTACTATATATATATATATATATATATATATATATATATATATCGATTCACGTCGGAAACGAGATTAAATTGAATTGAAAGATTTACGTTTCCGCTACGTATTACAATTCATTCGACGCATTCATGTATTGGAATGATTTACTGGTGAGAAGTTTTGAGCCTTGCAAGCATCTACTTATGAATGATTCTATTTTACATAACCCAGCATTTACCAAACATTCCCTATTAACTACAGACGCATGTAATTATGCTATTGGCAAATATTATAATAGATCCCAGATTCAGATCTACCTATTGCCTATACAACTCGCACACTAAATCCTGCTGAATGTAATTATTCCAGAATAGATAACGAATTATTAGCCATAGTATGGGCAACTAATATTTAAGAGTGACTGACTCACTCACAAGTAGATAGCGACATCTTCAATATTAATTCGTTTACACAGTAATAAACAGTGGACTAAATAATTTTATTCAGATGCAAATGAAATAATAGTATTTCACAGTATTAGCTAGGTAAAACAGTTTTTACTGGCGCTTACCGAACTCAGCGACATCTTTAAGACAAGCGCTGAACACACGTTTGGTTCGAGTCTCTGCTGAAAATGACAGCAATCACCTCCTTGTTTGACAGATTTTGATTAATTTTGGAACACAAACATTATAAATTTTCGGCAAAACTGTTATTTCTATTTATTCGAGCATTTTATGATCCGAAATTTTGATAATTTATTGATAATGTGCTACTCTATGTGTTCATCCCTTTTTCATTTAAATTCATGAACAAAACTTACATATTGTTGTCAACATTAGGTTCACAATCTAGACTGCGTACTTCGCAACCAATAAGGCGTCAACTCATCCTCCAATCTATTATTGTTATGAACATAACTTCATTTTACTGAAAAGTTCTAAATTTGGAAGAGCATACTTTTTCAGACAAAAATTTACAACACTATCAGACCATAATCCACTCCATCCAATGGTTATTTTCTGTAAGAAACCCTGGCTCTAAGTTAATCAGATAAGGATTAAAACTAGCCAAATTCGTTTATAAAATCAAGTAGGTACTTATAACAAAGGAGCCCTAAATCTGAATGCAGATGCATCATCTGAAATCCCTTCACTGGTTCTAAAATGTTCTTTCTCATACATCAGGTTCGCCTACACCTCTAAATATTGATGAAATATTACCAAAATATTTCGAAGGTAGGTACCAAACACTTTATGTCCCAAAAACGGAATCACCCATCAATGAAGGAACAAAAATAAATTAAATTAGATGACAAACCATGGCGAAATAATATATTCTCGAATATAATAATATTCTCCAGAATATTCTATTTTAAATATTAAATATTAGAGGTATAAAATTTTCCATAGCAACAACACCCAATATGCCGCGCCACTTGATAGCAATTCTAATTCTTCGAACGCAATCTAGAATTCAATTCTGATTGGTCGAACACGACTCCGGAATTCTAGGCTTTTCCCTGAGTATGTAAAAGAGACCACGGAGTCGCATTGTTAATCAGTTACGCGCAAGAGTTTGTAATATTAATAAGAGCGTCGTGGCAAGCTCAGTTTTTGAAGTTTTGTTTTTGGCTGCGGTCAAAAAATCATTCACACAATTGTAAATTTGTAAATAGTAATGTAAAGTAGAAAAGTAGTTCTGTGAATAAATACTTAGTGGTGTAAATAAGACAAAACCAGCGTTTAATTTCAATAAAAACAGCGACAAATTCAATATACAGTCCACTAATAATGAACACCACGACAAACCATGAACACGAAACCAAATCGTTTTTAGAATCTACTATATCTTTTTTCCAACACAGCGGGAAACCGTACTATGTAGCCTAAAATTTGTGCGCAGAATCCGAAATTCGTATACATAGTGGTTTCCATGGGACCGTTTTTGACGTGTTGGACCAGATCTTATACCTACCGATTCACGTTGTGATCTATTGATAGCACAAAACCAATCTCCAAAAATTAAAATTCTGTCTCAAATGATAATAACACTGGACAATCTCAGGGCAATTTTCCAGTAGTAATATGCATAAAATATTTTCGGAAATTTTTGAAAATTTTGTCTGAAGCCAATTTTTTAACAAAATCATGAGTGCACAGCGCCTGAAAAAATCCCGAACCCGAATGGTGACGGATTTTTTCTTCGGCGTTATGCGGCAAAACATCTTTATCCTTTATCACCTCCTACATCAACACTCCATTTACCTACTATAAAATACTTTTACCATCGATTAATCTGTAAATATTTCCGAACAACACTACAGGATTAACAGGAACATAGAGCTAATTAAATTAAGCCGGAGGTAATAATGTTATCTGAGCCCTGACAGCTACAATTACGAAGTTGAAAAGGCTTGTGCGCTAAAGGATACTCTACTTCTACGGGAACAATGAAGTAACATTTCAATGATGGTGCTTAAACTCAAAATTCCGGAAACACTAGACATGATATGCCTATTATTTCAACTTTGAATGAAATAATGATTAACCTGAAAATAACGAGAAATGAAAGAGAAAACGTTTCACAATTTGTATTAAATAGATTATTTTGATTTTAGAAAAGACTTTGAGAAAAATACCTATTTCAATTACGGTTTAACATTTCTATGAATCCAAGGAATATATCTAGCCACCCTAGTATAAACTCCTGGATATCCTGGGCTACCACATTTGGTATAACCGAAAGACACGATACCTTCAATCATCCATCTGGTTTCGTCGTCTGGTAATGTTCTCATTAGAGGACCACCACTGTCACCTACATTGAATTATTAGCAAAGAAGAAAAACAGTATAATAGTAACTAAATACCTGAACAAGAATCTTTTCCATCCTCTGAGCCAGCACACATTTGATTTTTGCCAACTTGAACATTAAGTTCTCCGAATTTTTGCGCACAACTAAAATTGTCTGTTACTGGAACCTCAAGTTTTAGTTTTACGTCACTATCTCTGCCTTTTTCGGTTCTACCCCAACCGGCCACTATCAATTTCTCACCTGTACGTGAAGCCTCATCTGGCTTGGGAAGGCAAACTGGTTGAATGTAGTCTGAAAATAATTTTGAACATTAGAAGCGGATCGGACTCTGATTGGAATAGAAATTAGAAAAAAAAAAAAAAAAAAAAAAAAAAACTTGGAAACACTCGTTCTTTCAGCGACCTCTCCTGCATGAACCAAAAAGCATATAATGATATCAGGGTTTTTTCTGAAGATGAGGCAAAAATTCAAGGGGTGATTCATGGAATATTTAAGGGAGCAGCTTTCTCAAATGAGGCATCCTGAATACGATTCTTCCTCAAATATTAACTATATATATAAGTAACTGTTAATAATAAAATTATGAAATTGACCGCATAAACTTCTGATGCTGAATCCGAATATGAGCTCAAAATGTGTTGCATCTGTTACGATAATTTTATCATTTTCGTAACATGTTCCATTTCTTCTAATTTCCATTATGAATTTGTATTTTCGCCATTTCAGAATCAGCAAAATAATAACTCAATATAATATGAGTATTGCCATCTATCCATAAATAAAATGAGCATAAAAATGCAAATATTTGTTATTAAAAAAAAGTACTAACACACCGCCATCTAGTTCTTAATAAATTTATTTTTAAATTGTGGTAGGTTTCTTTAACTATCCTCATTGATAATTTTATTTGGATAAATTAAAATTTATTAATTTTTTTGAAGATAATTCCCCAAGTCAAAAATTTAGTAACTATGTTGGCAACACAAGCCTTTTCTACATAAAAAATTTGAAAGCATTGACAATTTTTTATTGCCAACATAATGTCACTTTGACTTTTATCTTAAAAAAAAACAGACTTTATGTTTATCCTGCTTTCAGCAAATAAATGTATTTCTGTCTTTCCCTAACTTCTGATTCTTAAATGATTATTTTTAACTTGATGACCAAATTACTTAGTGATTTTTTGTGTCTAACAAAACCTTAATTCAAATCATTATAATTTGTAAGATAATTCTAGTGTTTTCATCTATTCCCATTTAATCAGCGTGGGGTTTCATTAATGAAGTGAACACGGTATTTTGTGTGTGTTTGAGTGATGTCTTCTGATTGGTTCAATGGTTACTACGCAGTTGAGTATAAAAAAAACACAAGACTGGTTTTCCTGCAGGATTCTTGATTCTAGAAAGGTCTCTTCTTTTGCAGACCGTTGATCAGGCAAGTCGATTGTCACTTTGTAATTTTTTTTTCCTCTTCAGATTTCTAGATTTTCCCTTAATATTTCACGTTTTATTTCACCATCAGTGTCTACTATCACTTTTGGGTTTTTATTACCTGATAGATTTTATCATGTCTACCTTTAAAATATAAATATTATATTTTAATTTTTTTTATCTATTGTGATCTTCCATTTTGTTTGATACCACATTTTTCTGAGGAAAGTCAATTCATAGTTTTGGCAAATAAATAGGTATTGCTGCTTTGGTTTTCGGAATCAATTATTAGTGTGGTATTTTTGGACCATTTGCTCTAAGTAGAGTCGGTGTAAACTAAATTTGTGTGTCCATCCATCCAGAATTTTGACATTTCCTTGGATTTAATTTATTTCACCCTCAGCTTTATCTTGTAGTACCAATAGTGGGTACCTCAACTTGAAAGGGAAATTTATCTATTTGGGAAAAATCTAGAAAATTATTTTTTTATCTTGTTCAATTATTCCTATTTTTTTTTTATTTTTGCCTGTTTAGCGCGACTTCACGAGAAGCAGCATTTTGCTCAATGTTAACGAGCATCTATAGATACTCTCTTTTTAGCAGAATTCAAGAATTTAATATTCCAAAATTTGGTGTACCTGATACTGTAAATTCTTTTCTAGGTATCTATTCCTCAAGATCATCATTTGGAGTCTGAATCAGCTGGAGTGTTGTTACACTAGCTGAATATAGGAAACAACCTGAAGAGCTCCGGATTGGAAGAGGTACAAACCGTATCAGTGTCACCGGAAAAACTAAACTGTTAACTTGCAACTATACCAAAATTCATAATTTCAGTATGAACGGTTTAGAAAATATTGAGGAAAAACCTTCTTTAGGTGTTCCATTTGAAGGGTCGTAGCTCCTTTGAAAAGCATTTTTTGACAATGGTTTATAGGAACTTTTCTTCATAAAAATTTTCCTTGAATTTTTTCCGCATGTTTGGGCAACACATTCAGTATAATGTAGATTGTATATGTAGCAGGAGATAGAGTAAGGCAGTTACAGTGAAACTCAAATTAAATATCCCAATTTTTTGTTGTTTATTACAACTTTATCAGGGGTCTATAAAATAGAGAAAACACATCAATAATAGTATATTATTCAACGAGCGGGTAATGATGGCTATTACTCACGAATGATGAAGTTTGCATTACGAGCCGCATGCGAGTAGTTTAATCATCTGAGTGAGTAATAGCCATCACCCACGAGTAGAATACTATACTTTTGATTAATAGAAAATTTATGCGGTTTTTCATTCAATTTTTGTTAGGTACAAAATTAATTGTCTATTCTGACTCTGACAGCTGGAGGACAAAGTGAGGTTAGGGTTGCACAAGTCTTGTTAAAATCAGCTGTCAAAATGACCGATTTGAAGGTTGAAGTATGTTGTCAACTTGTCGAATTTTCTGATTGGCTCTTAAATAGTGGAGTAATGAGACCAGGGTATTTTCATTGGTTGAAAACAATTAAGTAATGAAAAAAAAAACTCACTGTATGAGTAATCATTCATATTGTTCAATAGAAAATGGATGTCTATTACGCATATTGTTCAATACTCGTAGAGAAAAAAACATTAAATAAGTCAAATGACAACTACAGAAAAACAACAAAAAAATATGGAATAAAATCAATCAAGCAAGAACAACATCAAATAAATCAAGATAGTCAAACAAATTTAATGCATGATATACATACATCTTCATTCAAACAATACATACATATAACAGTGGCGTAGCCAGGAGAGGGGGCGACCCTCCCCCTCAAAATTTCAAATCTAAAAACCAGAAAATGGGAAAGCATCCAAGCAGCCAGATTAAGATTTTTGATATTACGTAATGTCTACTTGGTAGGTACTTATTTAATTCGATTTGAAAATTCCCAAAATGTACGCAGGAACGCACCAAACTGATGAAATTATTGATCAATTTTGTCAAACATATGGACGAATTGCAGTTTAATTTTATTTATTTTTCTTTTTTTTTTTTTTTTTCTTTCATTTTTCCTTCTCCAATTTGTTTTTCAATAGAAGGGCCTAGACTGCTCAATTACTGATCTAGTTTTTCCTTACAAATCACTAAAAACAGATACCTATCTAGATGGGTGATGAGCTCCCCCTGAAATATATTTCTGGCTACGCCACTGGGGATCAGAGCCACACATCCACAAGCAGACAGTGAATCCCCTTGAAAGATACCTCGCTCATGTTTTCTGATCCGATGTTTGTGTTCTGATTAGTGAGGCGTTCCGTTTTGTCACGGTGTACCGAAGGAAGTTTATGATAGTCGATTCAATGTTGTGAGTCTACGTATGCCATGCTCACGTTTCTTTGTTTTTGTAAGACTTATTCGAAAATCACAGCATCAATGGCTATTTGCTCTTTACAGCGTAATGCTTTTCGGCGGCGACCTTTCTGTTCTTCGGCCGACAGGTATTCAACGACTGTCGGACAAAATGCAGCCGAGATAATCTTATATACGGTGGAAAGGCACGTGAGCAGTCCATATTGCGAGTGATCTTTGATCTTTGGTATCTTCAGACTTAGGAAGAAGGTAAGTGACAACTTACAAGGAAACTCAGAAGTTGGTCTGGTTCCCTCATTATCTTGTTAAAGTCTGATGCCATGCATTCGTCAAAAGAGGTGAATCTTTCGTACCAGAAGTTCTGGATTTCATCCTTACCTGGAGCGTTCCAGTTTGCTAGTGTTGAAATAACTCTCCTCTTGTCATCCGTTGTAATTGTCGCTGGGTCATTTGATTTTCTCTCGCCCTCTGCTTTTGTGTGCGTATCCAAGGTGCGTTTTCGTTGTGGTTTATTTTCTTCGACCATATTCCTTTCAAGTTTATTACTTCCTCTATTCCAGGTGCCACTAGCAGCCTCTTTCACTACTTCTAGTTACTTGTCTAGTCTTTATGAAATTGCTGCCAGTTTTCATCCAAGTGTGTCCAGGTACCACGATAATTGCTTGGCTTTTCTGTATTGTTTTGCCATCCAGCCATTTAGTGAGCAGCAGTTCAGCCGGTTATTTCCTTTTTATGCTTTTGTCTGTTGTACCATTGGCCATTTGGTGGACTCTACCAATATCTTTTCTAAGGTTGCCAATGTTCCTGTCTTAGTATTAGCATGAATAGCTTCAAGATAGCTGTTCATGATGGGAGACAAAACGGGAGTGTGCCACAAATGCAAATGGTCGACAGTAGAGCCGAAAACTGGAAAAGGACATCGCACACATCTTATGGGTTTTCGGGGACCGGTCGATTTTTTTAAAAATTTGGTATGTTGTAGTACTTGCAAAAATAAGCATTTTTCATCATTGCACCAAATCTCTAACTATACAGGGTGACCCAGTAAAGTGGGTCCGAAAAAAACAAGTATTTTAGTTATCGATGCTGCAAGGTACATATCGGGATTTTTGTTTTCACTTTCGCAAGTAAATAGTCTAGAAAAGCATACTACAGACAGGGTGGCTAAGCTTACGTATTCTTTTAGGAATCCTGCCCTATTTCTTAGAAATAGTGTTACCAAAAGGTCGCGCTGGATTTTATTTGCCCGTAACTTTTTTAGTTTTTGTCCGATTTAAAGAAATGTGGTCTTACAAGATGTCACGAAATCGAAGAAATTATAAATAAGATAAAATATGAGATGGCGGAAAGCGGAAAGTGATAAAGTATACCTTTTTATTTGAACGTGGTTTCTTACAATCATTAAATCCAGTTTGAAATTGAAAACAAGACCCAAAAGGGTAATGTTGAGAGTAATTCTTCTCCGTCAGCCGGTGTCCATCCATTGTCGGATATAGGCCTCTTCCAAGTTTTTCCATGT